ATAAATTAGTGTGAAAGCAGTTTTATTTTATATTTTGATAGTTGACCGACACTAATATGGCACATATAAATGGGAAATTTACATACTTATACCATATATAAGACTTATTTTCATATATACAAGTGGTGAGAAATTTTATCAATTAAGGATTCTGGAGGATAAGTATTTTCAAGATTACGGATGTTTGTATCTTTCCAAATAACTTCTCCCATTTAATTAGGCTAATTAACATGGAATCAAAACGGATAAAAAAAAATCTTATCAGGCACACCTCCTCCAAAAACCCCATGTCTAGCCGTACCTCAATTCCACGCCACCATAGCTTTCCCCACCACTGATGTTGTCGTCGCCGTCGCTTCACAACCGCCTTTGCTCATGAAATTCAACATCTCGTCTCTCTCGCCGAGCACTCTCCTCATATCCTTGACGCTTGCCTTTAAATCGGTCTCCACACCCTCAAAATCATCGATTTTTTCTTTCAGATACGTAATCTTCTCGCCTTGAAGGTGTTTTGGGCCACGTTGGACGAAACGGGCCGCAGGGTATTAGGCCTGTGCATCGCTGGTGGGCTGGAGGACGCCTGACGGGCTCGCGGGCTGATGTTGGGCCTCGCGGGCTGGGACCGAGCTTCGCGGGATGATGTTGCTGCTGGTCACGCCTGTGCGCGGCTGCGGCCTGCCGGCGCCCGCCTGCCCGGTCACCTTGCTGGAACGTCTTCGTCGATCTGGAGTAGTATCCTCTTCTCCTCCTGCTACCACAAGTGCCAGTGACTTGCTATTTTGATTACGAGTTGTCCAGCAAGTTCGTGGCCGAGTTTGGTTATCATTCGACGAGTTCCTTGTGTTTACAAATGTTTGTAATATTTGATAGTACTTTATGTTTAATTAACATTATGTTTAATCCCTTTTCAGAATTGTTTATATGTTGTTTATCTTATGTATAACCATACGGTTAATAATAGAGAAATGTCAGATTATGTTTATCTAATGTATATATACAGTATATCTAAACATATATTTGTTGGTTGGACGAATTTTTTTTTTTTCAAATTCAAAATGTCGTTTACCGAATTTTTGCTCTACCGAATTTTTTTTAATTCCCAATCGGGATCATAACTTTTTTCTACCGAATTCAAATTGTTTATATGTTATTTATCTTATGTATAACTATATGGTTAATAATAGAGAATTGACCGATCATGTTTATCTAATGTATATATACAGTATATCTAAACATATATTTGATGGTTCTACGAAATTTTTTTTCAAATTCAAAATGTCAATTAACCGAATTTTTGCTCTACCAATTTTTTTTTCTATTCCCAATCGCCTTTATGGTTGTTTACTTCATGTATATTTTTAGTATAATTGTATCATGCGTATAATATATATGAAAAAAAAGAGCTAGTATAATTATAACGTATATAAGTTGTACATCTAATAATATATTTTGTGTACGTTTGGGTAACTGTTGTGAGTGGTTATTAACAATGACTTTTCGAGACTGTCGGTAATAGTTAAAGTTGTAGGAATAGTACTTTTAAGAATGTTAATGTGTATATATTATATAAATAATTTTCTGTGATCATACCACATGTATTCATACTGCAACTTCTTCGAAATTGAACCAAGTGATTCATCCTAATTCTAACAATTATTTTTCGTGATTATCATGTGAATTTTCGGTCTACTGTGGTTCACCTTGCGGCTAAGAGATCTCAAACGAGTCCGCCGTGCATGATTTTGACAATTCATAAGGCAATTCTATCACAAATGATTCGTCCGTCCTTTTCACCATTGATATTTTCATCAAAAAGAGAACATACCAGTTCAAACTTTTTTTACACTATGAATAAAATGATATAGAGGAGGATTGTTTGAAGAAGAAAGAGAGACGTAATTTATTAATTGGGATCAACACGATATCCCATTGAATTCGGTACCTTAATCTATACAACATACTTTAAATGAAATCTCATAAAATAAATGTATCTGTTTAGCTTACAACTAAAAGATAAACGTAAAACTAAAAATATAATAAATATTGTAAATGTGAAAATATAATTTAAGGCAATCGTACATGGGGTAAATTTCTCCATATAAATTGATTGGAAAATATATTTTTCAAAATATTGTAGCGTTCTATAATTTTCCAATTATTAGTTATCATAGAGATCCTAAAATCACATTTACGCCTCTAATATTAACACATGGGCTGTTGTTTTATAACCTTTCTTTCACAAAGCCCGCCCACTTGCAGCCCACATCGTTATTCTATAATCGTAATAACATGATTATGGAGAATGTCGGTATGGCTCATAATTGTTTTTTTTTTTTATTATTATTATTTTTTTCTTCAGTTCAATGTATTTTCCATTTCAATTTTATAGTTACGCATAAGGATAGTGTTTTTCTTTTCAAAAAAAGTATATGAATAATTAATATCTATTATATAACCTTTCTAATTAAAATTAGGAGACAAAAAAATGCTCAATAATAAATTGTTTACAAACATTCTCACCAAATATGTAATCCTAGGTTAAAAAATATTGATCCCTAAATTTAAAATAAGATCATTTTATCTCCAACTCAATTCAACCGAATTTAATAATTAGAATTATTTTCTCTCTTCCACCTACACAACCTAACCTTACAATTGAATTATTTTAATCCTCAATCCAATCCAACCTAAAATATTTATTTTATTATTATTTATTTAGA